TCGGCTTTCCAGCATAAATGGGCTTCATGAAGAGGACGGGATCTGTATTGTAAATTGCCAAGTTTCCTCACCACCACAAGAAGATTTCAGCTGTTTGGTTATTGGTGCTCCGGAAAGCCTAAAGAAAGGAGAGCTAAGCTTCAAACTGCATCGCACGCTTCACGATATCCAATCACAACTTCACATCCAACAGGGTGAAGACGACCAAAGAAACAGACTTAGGGGTACATCAAGGATTAATAATTATGCCTGCACTGTGAAGTAATCTTGGAGGTATCTTTTGGGTCCTAACTAACGACTCAAGACGAGCAATCGACTCAAAGTCCTGCTGGTCTACTACTCCTACTGATGACCACACGAGGAAGACGAACGTCTGTCTGCATGTGATGACACTACATCGTATTGTGTGGAGAGTGCGTTAAATATTGACGGGATTCCAACATTCCCGGGGGAGTTAGTATTTAATCCACTTCCAGGCTTTCTTGGTAATCAGCCTGTTTATATGTGTTTGTGTGTACAGGTTGTGGAAGAAAATAACGCAGACCGGATGCCAGACCGTTTTTATTTCGATTTGGGCGGGTATTCTTGAGAAGTCGAAAGTGTTGCCTTAGATTCCCAAAGGTACAGAAAGAAATATCACCAGTGCAAAAAAAAATAATCATTTTGGGTGGCAATGAATTAATCGTTCCTTGAAGACCTCCCAACAGAATGAGGGTTTCAGCACAGTCTCTAGCAAATCAGCCCCAGGTGTTTCATACACTTATTTCAAAAGAGAAACAAAAATGTCAGCCTGGGAGTCACATGTTGTTTCACAGACCAGGCAAACATTGAAAGTTTAAACTTAGTAGCCAGAGGACAAAGCAAACATATGATCAACGATGACCGCTTTCTCTATTGGGTCTTTCCACATCATAGTTTGGATGTTCGCCACAGTATAATAGGGTGTTGAAATGCGCCCCAGAAAAATCCCACTGATCGAGTTTCGCCTGATAATCTACAAATAAACGCACTGGAGTCACCGTATCCCGTTCATCTTTACTCCAATATTTCAGTGTTTTCTCCTACTCCTTGTTCGTGGGGCAACGGGTGGTGGATAAACGTCTGGTCGATTCATTTGACTGACATGTAATATTTTGCTTTCTGGAATGTAAGAATTGCACAGCGTTCTTTTTGTTCCTCCTTTGTCAATCGAACTTTCGGTCCGTGAGAATTTTCGATCTGGAAAAAATGGACGATATATGTCTCTTTGGACGACAGACATCCAGTCTGATTGACTACGTGAGCTGACGTTCCAATTTTAGTTTAAGATAACTCATGATTTGCATCTGTAGGCTGTCCTTCTGATGAATAAATCGCTAGCAACTGGGTTTGATTTCACAGTTTCCGCGTTAAACAGAAAAATATGAACGCATCTTGTGGGTGAATATTCGCGCAACCGCAGATGCCCGTTGGTGTGGGTCTCTCAGGATCAAGAATTAGGTGATGTTGGTAAGTGGTGGAGCGTTAAGCCCTGTTACTATCGAAAAGCGACCAAGCTTTAGAAGTTACTGTGTGAAGACAAAATATTTTCATGGAACGTAAAGCAAGTCGACAACTAGTATTTCAGTAGTAACTGGCCATGAAATAACGCTCTGAGGTGAGGTCTGTTAACAAAATCTCTTATACAAGTCGTTGAGCTGTTTTACAAGGAGTGATATGGAAAAAATACTTGCTTTCCTAACGATCTTTAGTATGTCCAACAAACACATCGTGCAACTACCTTATTTCTGGCCAGTACAACATAAGGCATAGGACATTTGCGGCGTTTGAGAACTGATATCATCCACCTACGTTTACAGTCATGAAGGTTTAGGACTAAAACGTTGTCATTTGGATGGAACCCGTGCTACACGTCAGCCTGCTGGTCGCTAAACCAGTAACACATCCGCGGAATCGATTCAACTCTAGTTCAGTGTGATCGCAAAGCACCGAGAGTAATGAATGAAGCTCCTCTAGCAAAGGAAAAATCAGCTGGTGAGCTCCGATTGGGCATGGATGAAGTCCATAGGAAAGCACCTACAATATTCAGAGGACTTTTTTCCTCTCCACTTTTCGAATTGCTAGTACAAAGGCGTCGATTAATTTTTGGGTTTAGTCCGCAGACTGAGGATGGTAGATCAGACAACAGAGGTTATCAATTTCTAGGGATTTACAAAACTGACAAAATTCGTCTCAGGTGAACGGCGGGTGAGATACTCAAACTTCGGATGAGCCAATTTGCCCATGGATAACATCTGATCGTTTGAAATATGTAACCACAATGATACGACAATAATGTCCAAATGAAACCTGTGCGTGAATTTCGCTTCAGTCTGTGTAGCGTTGATAGTGGACGCAGTTGTGGCTTTACTGGAGTCTCGCAGCATAGATATACTTTTCAGAATTCGCGATCAATAGTTTGATATCCTTGCCAACGTGGAAATTGTATGCCAGCAATCGCCAGAATGCACTTGTTTCTGCAAAGACTTTGGAACCACAGGCCGTTTTGTGAACATCGGCTAATCACCCATAATTGTCTGACCTACGTCTGTCCATGAATTTTTGAAATATGATTTTGAAAACACTCGTTCCGTATAAGTATTTGGAACCGAGTCAAACCAGTTTGCTTGTTCAGTCTTGAGTGGTGTGACTGTTAGCTTGCCAACAGCACAAGTTCGTACGCTTTAGATTGTCAAACTTTCCTCGATTTGAATGTTGTCCCCTTGAGCGTCATTAAATTTGCTAATGACCGATAAGAAGAGGGAACAAAAACACTTCTATATGGGGACAAATATGCGTACGAGCGATTAGTGGCCTGTATAACGGGGCTCTCTATTAAAGAACAACGCAGGAGGCACATTCTTACGTCTGTTGTAAGAAGGGTTATTGGCTTCAATTAAGAACAGTTTTGGGTCATAATGCAGCAGCAAGAGGTGTGATATTACAGTAAGTTTGAAGCCATGAACACTGTGCGAAAAGACGTGGACTACTACCAGTAACTCACCTAGTGGAGCATGCAGATCAATCAAGGATAATAAAAATATCGTCGTTTAAGTGCCCTAAGAATGACTGTAAAGATGTCTTTTGGTAGGTTTTCGATAAATCCTCAACTGCCGTGACCTTATGTGGTTCAGACGCCACGCCATCGCTGTCCGCAGTAAGTCCAATGGGCGTGATTATGCTCTGCGAAATCACACTCAACATAGTGGGCTTTGTGTTCTTGCGCTGGAGCACTCATAGCGATAACGCTGTACCCATACACACTTGTGGCACGGAGTCCGCTAGGTATAGTATCCACCACATTAAAGAAAATGGCAGCTTGTTAAAGTTACATTGTCCCTGATTTGTATTAGCCGTCAACATTTCTCCGCTAATCACGAAGTAGACATCTCGTACGTTTATTTTTGAAACAGATTCCACCTTTACTCACCGAAAATTCATCTCAAACTGATATTGGATAGCTCATCATCCAATCCTGTGGAAAAGCCACCGAACCGAGCAATCCGTATTCCTAAATACAACTATCGGCACCGTCAAAGCTGAATAACGGACACAGCAATATAAACAATCGATCATGGATCACACGGCCGAATGTCTTGGAGAGAACATGCGTCGCCCATTTAATCCAAAAAACCTTCGCATCGATTAAGCTGTAGATCACCAGCTTTATTTCGTGGAATCGACACCAAAATTTGTTTTCTAAAGTCAAATAGAATCGGCATGCGACTTCAAAACAACAGTCACTACCAGTCGGCTAATCGCACTGAGAGATAACCGACTATCTTCAAATGCAATGAAACAGGAAGTACACACCCGACTGCACACTGATGAACCCTCACTATTAAAACTAGCCTAATGGAATATGCACAGAAGTCGGAAGAACTTTTCGTAGATTGATACCACGTAGATTCAGGTGCAAACACGTGGAGATGCGACAAACGGAAATGAAACTAACAGACGAAAGACACTGGTTGTCCCATGCCATTTCTGGTAATCCGTGATGTGTGACGACAGTTATGGCCACCTGTATATTGACCATTTTGTCTTTTTATCTATACTGTGAAATATCGCCGCACTTTTCGAAACTGTCGATGAAATTGGGTTCAGGTTTAAGTTATGAAGGGAAGAATGCGACGTGTGTCACACTCCAATTAGTAGCCACATCTCCGACTGAATGAAAACGAACAGAACGCTACTATTCCCGTTTACAAGAAGCATATGAGGGCCGTTCAACTCTCCTTCGGCTACGTTGGTGTTTTGTTCTGTGTCAGTTTGACTTTCTGGTTGTACGTGATCATCTAGTACTTGTCCTATCGTAAATTCGCCAGATGAGATAAGCTTTGTCACAGGTCACAGGTTGACTCAAAACCAAAAAAATCACAAGAGCCTCGAGTCGGTCACTCGGTAGTGTGACCGCTGGAAACGCCCATACCCACTATCGATGTGATCAGTGGATGGGGCAATATATTCGTGGTTCCTGAGTCAACTGTATCAAATGTGAAAAAGAGATGTCCGTTCGCTAAAAGGGGGCTCAGTGCCGTCGCCTTGTCTGCTAATGTACAGGTTGATTATTCTGTCAATGCAATACTTGCCATGTTTGGCTGTACATATTCATTGCACGAGATGTACTTTACCGGCACTAACGAATATACCATCTTCTTGGCATTCCCACCGTCCACATAAAAGCACATAAAAACCCAAATAGACTGTTGAACGCCCGATGAAATTTCTGCTTCAGAGTAGGCTGGACTGGAAAAGCCGGATATGAAAAATGAAACGTTTGAAGTCGGATTGCGCGCGTTTCGCTGTCGTCGATTCTATTGCTGATGCCGTAGTTGTGTTAGCTTCAAAAACATATGTTCTGTCATTTCTGGCGCCACCCTCAAGTCTGAACTTATATGAAAAAAAACGACCTTTAGTTCACCACTACCCAATAAAAACGGGCAAAAACCCGGAGGCCAAGGTGCTTATTGAGTGACCGTCAGTTACTGAACGAACAAGCACAAAACATTGCTCAGTAATGAAAAAAGATATGACTGATCAATAGACATACGAGTATCACTGTTAGGCGTAAGTAATGCTAACGATTACGGAAGAAGCACATATAGTCCATCACAAACTATACGTCTGTAGGTTCACGCATTATTGCCATCAGCAATTCTGAGATGTGCGGGAGGCTTTATACAAAGTTGTTCTTTGGTGACGACCAGATGTACATTCCCCTTCATGATGCACTGAAACCAAAGTGAGAGAACTGTGAGACTTTGTCCAAAAATGAACGAAAAAGCTCAACCACTTGTGGAAAATGAGGGAGGGGTGTCGGACTCTAATGGCCCTCAATTCAGTCACATCACATTTAACTAGCCGTTAATACAGCGATTTTCAGTTGGTAGTAATCTATTCGAACACCAGGAAGCATCAGGCTGAACACGATACATTGCTTTTACACCACCCAGTTGGCAACCCCGATATTATGTAGGATGTAGGTTCAGCGAACAAACAACTAGATCAATGCTAGTTGTTCGTCTTTCAAGCAAGCCGAATTCCTTAAGAACTGAACACGATACATTGCTTTTACACCACCCAGTTGGCAACTCCAATATTATGTAGGATTAAATGCATAGATGGTTCAGCAAGTGAATAACTGGACCAATACTAGTTGTTTCCCTTTCACGCATGCCGAATTCCTCAAGAATCTGCAGGAGGTGCATCATCCCCAAATTTTTGAATGCAAAAACGATGTAAAAGTCTAACAAAAACCACTAGTTTTGTTGCCATTATTTTATTTCTACTGTACATAGATATGAGTGCCCTGCAAATACGGACGCAACTACACACAATATGAACTAGAAGACTCGCTTGGCGGTGAAGCCGGACCACTAGCTTGCTAGACGGGTGTTCTATCGCCTGTGCTACCCAGGATGTATATCCAGTGTCACACACAACTGAAATCCACACCTGATTAGCTACGTCTCCGGACAAGCGGTTGATATCCGTCATCGTCATTGACTGAACCCATTCGTGGCCTTCGCAACAGGCCGAACATTTACATCATTCACTCGATACAAACAGCCACCCGTAAAACTCCCTCTACTCGTCCGTACAGTGTTGCAGATACATATGTATCTTTGGAATCTCCGCTCCGTAAGTGCGGAATATGGCTAAACTACGCGTGCAATCAACTCGACACTTGGGATAACCAGCTAGTGGACTAAGTTCCGACTTTCATTCGATTCCGACATTTCTCTGTTCTAACAACAGTTATGCGGACCCACGTTCGACAAACAGCTCTCTTCGTAGATTGGTTGTACCACTGATGCCCTGACCGAGCTAATGGGCCCGATTCAATAGTTGTACAAAACGCATATTGACACATCCGCACACGTAAAAGTATGCCTTCGGTTGATCCTGTAAAATATTCCACTCAAAAGTATCAATTCAATCTCATCATAGAATGCAGAAGGTTTCTAGCCATGTTATCACAATTACTACCAGAGTACATACATATGTACATATATTCACATATATCACATCATACTGTAATGCAACGTCATAATTATTATCAGTGCTGGTTATTATGATTATCGGTATTACCATTTTTGAATATTGCTCACAGATATGTGGCAACTAAACTGCTTCTAGCCGACTGCTATTCCGTTTTCCTAGCTTGACACCGAAGTGGGAGAGCTCAGAAAACGGAACAACAGCCATCCAAACAACCAGACCTGTTAACAGTTTCCCCAATAGTTTCGACACAGTGCTTATTTTCAGACGAACCAATCGCACGACCGTAGTGTGAAATTGTTCTCCTACTAAAACGTGATAATCCAAGTTGATCAACAGTGTACCGATAGACAATTGGTGAGAATTTCGTCTCATATGCCAGGGGTCTGGAGTTTGAAAGTCTGCACGGCCAAAAATGAGTTCGAATAACAGCGAAACTAGACTCGACTGATTCCCTTGTGTGGTGTGGACTGACTGGGGCATTTCGTACGGGACAAGATGGCAACTGCTCATAGGGTGTTGCGCCTAAAAATACCTTATACAGGGATTATAGTCGCATTGGAAATTACTTGAATTAACTAACTGCGAGGACAAACGCAAAGGAATGATAATTTTTACTTTGCTCCGATATAATAGACGACTGGACACATTAAATATTAAGCCAATCGAATGTTCTGCTCCTAATGAAGTATGTTCCTCCACAACGATCACCTCCAGGTCACATTTTCTGTTTCCCAAGGATATTTTATCGTCGGAGGCTGTCTACTCCACTGTGTGGCATCCCAAATAGACATAGTTATAGAAAGTGAACGTGAGCTTTTTCATAAGCGAAACTACTTACAAAACTGCTGAAAACTCTACGAAGGCCTTCCTTGGGGCTCAGTCCCTGAGTTTCCGTCAACCTTATATTTTACTGGGACTCGAAATGCACGAAATCTGACTTACA